GCTCAGTGGCAGAGTGCATAAGGTCCTAGGTTCAATCAACAGCACTGACAAACACGCGCGCGCGCGCGCGGCTCAGCTTACGGGGCTGGCCACCAGGACTGTCAACCTGAGTTCGATCACTGGGACCTACAAGATAACCGACTCCAATCCCAGGAGCCCTGCAGCCTACAGCGGGCCGCTCTGTCCCCTCCGCCCGGCCCCGGTCCGGGTCCCGGTCCCGCCACGCCTCCCCGCGCTCTGCAGCGAGACACGGGGGTGGGAGACCGTCCCCGGCGGCCCCGGGTAGGCGACACGAGAGACCTTGCAAAGGGAGGGCGCGCGTCAGGACCGACTCGGGCTGTGTGCGCGCCCGATGGCAGCAGACCGCCCCCTCCGGCGGCCTCGTTCCGGTCCGGCCGCGCGCTGCGCCCGGGGCACTCGCAGAGCCCGGCGCTCGTCACTCACCTCAGTCGGTGCTGCAGCAGCCGCTCAGATCTCCCTCCTCTCCGCCTGTGCCAAGGGATCGCGAGACTTCCGCCAGCGTCTCGCGAGATCTGAGAAAACGGCCCGTAAAGAATCAAATATGCGCGCCACAGGCGTGTCCTGAGGACAAACTGATGTCCTGCCGGGGGACTGGGAACCAAAGTGGGCCAGGGCGCCTGTCACGCAGGGCGCCCGTCCCGCAGGGCGCGCTTCCACCGCCATCCACCGCCACTGAGTGCGCCGTCATGTGTGGACTAGCACCTCTAGGGAGGGAATGTTTGGTTGGTTTTTGAGACAATGTTTCTCTGTGTAGCCTCGAACTCACAAAGATCCAGCTGCCCCTGCCTCTGCTTTCCTAGTGCTGGAATTAAAGGCTCGCACCATAACTGCTGGGCAGAGAAAGGGAACAAAGTTTTAGAAAGTTAAATTTTCTCTGGATCTTGCCACTATGTATACACTGGTTGTTTCGTTTGGGGCAGTGTTTTCATTGGTTAGTTTGTTTCACTTTCTTTCCTTTGTGAATGAGAAGTCCTGAGAAGTTGTGACTGCAGAGGCGGGTTAGCTGGTTGCCTTCGATCTTGTTGCGGGTCCAGAGCCTGATCGAAATTTGTCTAGAGCTGTATCTTTAACCTCCTTCATACCCAGTGCTTACCCGCCTCTGTGTCAGCCCTAACGCGTTGTGACTAACGGATAAAAACCTCTTGGAATAAATTAAAACCCAGTTTCTACCAACCAAAAGCCCACAGACAACACCAGAAGCATAGAGCTGTTATTTCTCTGCTTTGCTGTAACGGCCTATTTAAACCTTCCACCAGTTGTGGGGGGTGATTTTTTTTTTATTATTTTGTGTATGGTGTTTTGTGTGCATGCATGATCCCCATAGAGACCAGATGACGACAGCAGATCCTCTGGAACGGGAGTTAGATGTCTATGAGCCAAGATGTGCGTGCTGAGCATTGAACCTGGGTCCTCTAGAAGAGTAGCCAGTGATCTTAACCTGAGTCATGTCCCCACCCTGCCACCAATGGTTTGGTTTGCTTTGGTTTGGGTTTTGGTTTGTCTTGTTTTGGTTTTGGTTTTTAAGACAGGGTTTCTCTGTGTAGCCCTGGCTGTCCTGGAACTCAAGGCTGGCCTCAAACTTATAGAGATCCACCTGCTTCTGCCCCACCACCCCACCCCCAGGCGCACCCTCACCCCAAGTGCTGAGAATAGAGGAGTGTACCACCACTAATTTTTTTTGTTTGTTTGTTTTGTTTTGTTTTTTGGTTTTTCGAGACAGGGTTTCTCTGTATAACTCTGGCTGTCCTGGAACTCACTTTGTAGCCCAGGCTGGCCTCGAACTCAGAAATCTGCCTGCCTCTCCCTCCCAAGTGCTGGGATTAAAGGCGTGTGCCACCACTGCCCGGCGACTAATGTATTTTTAAAGTGCCTTGATTCATGACTTTCTTTATCCTGTTACTATAAAAACTTCCTCACTGATTCCCGACTGGAACATGGGATTTGGGGTAACATAAGTCTGTGTTTCTGGAACATAATCATTAGTATTTGGCTCAAGAATAAACAATCTCTCCAGCTGGGCAGTAGTGGCACATGTGTTTAATCCCAGCACTCTGAAGGCAGAGGCAGGAGTATCTCTGTGAGTTCGAGCCCAGCCCGGGTTACAAAGCAAGTTCCAGAACAGCCAGGACTACACAGAAAAACCCTGCCTGGGGGGGAAAAAATGGACTGCAGAGATGGCTCAACCATTAAGAGCACTGACTGCTCTCCCAGAGGTCCCAAGTTCAATTCCCCACAACAACATGGTGGCTCATAACCAGCTATAATCTGTCTGTAATCTGTCTGGTGCATCTAAAGATAGCAACTGTACTTGTATATATAAAATAAATAAATCTTTCAAAATAAAAATAAAAAATTCTCTCATCCCTTTTGAGATGTTGTGTTTTGGGGTCAATACAGCAAATAGAATCTTACCCTGTATCCCAGCTTTGGCCTGGGCCTTACAGCAAGCCACCCATCTGCCTTCTGAGGGCCAGTGAGATGGCCAAGTCCCTCAACTGACTCTTTTGGTTATCAGACTACTGAAACAAAAGGCCGAAAGGCACTAGACTCCTCCTCCTCCTAAGGATCTCCTCCTTAGAGGAGAAAAGGCTAGCGCCCTTGGGGCAGACACAGGAAGAGCTCTCTGGGAAAATGATTTCTGTCAGCTGAAGGTGAGGAAGGGCTTGGTGCTGACACACTGCTGGGACTGAGCACACCAGGCCGGCTTCCTCCTGCCTTTCTCTTCAACCTTCTAGTTCAACCCTAGGCTCCTGACACTGGGATGTGGGGACATCCTGGATGCAGCTTTGAGTCCCTCTTCCCAACGGAGGCCACACTGAATAAGCTTCCTGTTTCTGATTGGCTATCAACTTGGCTCTTTGCAATTGAGGAGGAGTGGCCAAGCCTGGCTGCTGGGACCCAGCCTGTGATGCTTACTCTCTTAACACACACTTGCCGCCATGCCTAGCTGGTGTTCTGTGTGTTTCAGTGGGATTTGGGATTTTGTTGTTGGTTGGTTGGCTTTGATGTTTTCAATATTGTCTCACTATGTAGCCCTGGCTGGCCTTGAACTCACAGAGATCCTCCTGCCTCTGCCTCCCTGGTGTTGGGATTAAAGAAATGTATCACTTTTCCCAGCCTAGTATTTTTTTCTTTGTTGCTGTTGTTCCTTGTTTTTGTTTGCTAGATTGAAGCTCTACTATTGAATTGCATTCCCAGAATTTCTCTTATTTTAATTTGACAGAATCTTCTTAAGTTGCCCAACCTGGCCTTGAACTCTTGGTCACCCTGCCTTGGCCTCCCTCACTTGTATTACAGGTATGTGATAACACACAAACTCACCTCTGAAGTGTTGTCTTGCAGCACCGGGGCTCTTGCCCGACAACACTATGGAGGCCAAGGCAGAGGCAGGTCAACCCTAAGGGATGGCAACAATCTTCCTGTCCCGCTGTATCTCTAGTAACACTGTATCTGTTTTTGGTTGGTCGGTTGGTTGGGCTTTTTGTTTTTCTGTTTTTCAAGACAGTTTCTCTGCGTAGCCGTGACTCTCTTGGAACTCTGCCTAAGTGACTGGGATTAAACACATGCACCGTCAGTGGGTAAAGCACTTGCCTGGCATTTAGGAAGCCCTGGGTTCCATCCCCAGCACTGCATAGACCAGGTGTGGCAATGCATGCCTGCAATCCCAGCAAACAGAGGACGGTCGGTCAGCCTGAGCTACCTGAGGACAGACGCCCTGGCTCTGGCCTTATAGACTTTCTTCAGCTCCTAGGAGTTTAACAGTATATCTTTTTCCTAAGATTATTTTATTCATAGTGGTGCTTTGCCTGTATATATGTCTGTGTACCACATGCATGCCTGGTGCTTGAGGAAGTGGTTAGCCTCCAGGAGGGTGCTGGGAATGTAACCCAGATCGTTTGCAAGAACAACAAGTACACTTAAGCACTGAGCCAACTTTACAGTTCCAGCAGTCTGTCTTTTAAGAAGGAGAACTGCCACAAAGAAATTGTGCTCTCTACTGAACCTTCTGCGGTACTGACTGATGAAACAGAAGCTCAATATTTGTGGGAAGGTTGGCGGGTTGCAGATATGGAGGCTAATGAGAACTTATTTTTGACTGTTCAGCCTCCCGAAATAGCCATTCCTTGCCCACTTGCGTCTGACCTAGCATCCTGTGAGTAACAGATAAAACCTCTCAGAATGCATTCACTTAACAACCTTTAATATCCATGACCTAAAAGGCTAAATCAGTGTCATCAGATAACAGCTAAGGCGTGCAGCCCAGATTTCTCTGCTTTGCTGTAACCACCCACTCAGCTTCCACCAGTGGATCTGAAAAGGTGACTTGACTGTTAGGCAGTGGTGGTGGCAGCCGCCGCCTTTAATTCCAACACTCAGGAGGCAAGGGCAGGTGCATCTCTGAGTTCAAGACCAACCTGGTCTACAGTGAGAGTTCCAGGACAGCCAGGGTTATAGAGAAACACTGTCTCAAAAATAAAAACAAAAGAGAAAAGTGCTTTGACTTACTTTGTATTCCTTCCTTAGCCGCTGAGGGTCAGATCAGGCTCCACCCACTTTGAGGTGAAAGAAAGGTGATTAGGAGCCCTCGCCTTCACTTACCCATTCTAGATGCCAGCAAGGCTGACCTCACGGCAGTCCAGCTGTTGTGAACCCTGCACAGACCCATTGAAGAAGCGACAGAGCAGCTGCAACTGCGTGGCGCCAAAGTGAATCTGGTTCACCTGTCCTAGTTCCAACTCTGTGCCAGACTTTTTGCCATGAAAAGCCTTTGTGAACTCCAGCAGCCGTTTTACCCAGGCCTTTACCCAGGCCGGCGAGGGAGCACTTCCCCAGAGCGCTCACCAGGCTTGTGTTAAGTGTGTAAAAACGGGGCTTTTACAGCACTAAGAAGTGGTACAGGTGTGGGCACCACCTCCCTCTGGCTCTCTAAGGAGGGGTTCTACCAATGGTTTTTGTTTAGTTATTTATGTGTATGGGTATTTGGCTGGAATATATGTGTCTGTGCACCACATTAGCACAGTGCCCGTGAAGACCTGAACACTGGATCCCCTGGACTAATTACTAAGGGTTGGGAGCTGCTATGTGAGGGCTGAGATGAACCTGGGTCCTCTGGAGAAAGAACTCTCTCTGCAGCCCCTCCAAGTCTCTTTCTCTCTCTATCTCTCTGTCTCTCTGTCTCTCTCTAACACACACACACACTCTTTCTCTCACAGATGATGATAACCATGTAGCCCATTCTTTTCTAAAGCTGGATGACATTCACAGAGGAGCAAGCGCCTTGCTGTGTGCTTTGGCAATGACTTTTATGGGCTTTGGAGCGAAGTATCAAAGCAGTATATTCTTCTACCAAAAAGATAAATAAAAACAAAGCACCCCCAGCCCAGGCATGAATTCACACTGAACGACTCTAATTGCCCCAGGGAATGTCTGAAGAACAGACATTGCCAGTGTTCACCCGAGCGGAGGACAGCAAGCCCTCCATAGAAACCTCAGCCTCCGCCTCTTTCCACCAGTCAGCCCAGCAGCAGACTTGCTGTGTTCAGACAGCACCACAGGAATGCCCACTCCTCTCCTCGTGGCTGCCAGGTCTAGGAGCTGAAGACAGTCTATAAGGCCAGAGCCAGGGCATCTGTCCTCTGTAGCTCAGGCTGACTGACCATCCGCTCTTTGCTGGAATTGCAGGCATGCATTGCCACACCTGTCTATGCAGTACTGGGGATGGAACTCAGGGCTTCATAAATGCCAGGTAAGTGTTCTACCCATTGAGCCACACTCCCAGCCTAGCAAAAGGGTTCCATTACTTATGTTCTTTACCTGCTCCCTGGCCCTTGAATACCCGGTCTATTTTTGTTTTGGGGGTGCTAGGGAATCTAGTTGGGGCCACCCACACAGTAGACAGGCTCTTCACTGCTGACCCTTTATCCCAGCCAATCCAATCAGTGGTCCTTCTCCCTCCCTCCTTTCATCCAGTAATTAACTTTAGTGTAATCCTGGCTTTCCTGGAACTCGCTCTGTTAGACCAGGCTGGCCTCCAAGTCACAAGTCACAGAGGTCCTCCTGCTTCTACTGGGATTAAAGGCGTGTGCCACCCCCACCTAGCTTTTTTCTTGTTTTCCTTTCCTTTTTCTTTCTTTCTTTTTTTTTTTTTTTGGTTTTTGTTTGTTTGTTTTTGTTTTTCGAGACAGGGTTTCTCTGTGTAGCCCTGGAACTCACTCTGTAGATCAGGCTGGCCTCGAACACAGAAATCCGCCTGCCTCTGCCTCCTAAATGCTGGGATTAAAGGAGTGCGCCATCCCCGCCCGGCTTATTTTCCTTTTCTATTCTTCACTCTCCACTTAGCTGACTCATAACTTGGCACGACCCAGGTATGGCCGGGTACACTTGTCATCCCAGCACTTGGAAGCAAGGCGGGAGGACTGTGGGCTCATAGTTCGGGTTACATAGTGACACTCAATCTCAAAAACAGACAGACAAAAGCCAGAAAATAAAATCACGAAAGAGAAGACTGGCCGGGCAGTGGTGGCGCACGCCTTTAATCCCAGCACTTGGGAGGCAGAGGCAGGCAGATTTCTGAGTTCGAGCCTGGTCTACAGAGTGAGTTCCAGGACAGCCAGGGCTACACAGAGAAACTCTGTCTCAAAAAACCAAAAAAAAAAAAAAAAAAGAAAGAAAGAAAAGAAAGAGAAAACTGTTATGTTTCCAACGTTTAAACGCCTTGAGTGGAAAGGGTTTCAGTGGCTCACTCATCCCAACCGTAATCCATCACTAAAGAAATCAGTGGGCTCTCAGTAATTCAAGCAGAGACCATGGGGGGCGCTGTTTACTGGCTTCTTCCTCGGTCTTGCTCACCCGCTTTCTCATGACTCAGGCCCGCCTGCCTAGGGAAGGCTCCGCCCCCGCAGGGCACGCCCCGCCCCGCCCCGCCCATCATTCACTCATCTAGACAATGTCTCACACTCCGCTTGACCCGCAGGCTGAGCCGATGAAAGCAATTCCTCAGTCCAATTCTTTCTTCCCAGACACAGGCAGGTTTGTGTCAAATTGCCAGAAACTAACCCTGCCAATATATGAGTTCATATAGTGCACACTGTGTGTGCGAGCATGTGAGAGGTCAGGGCCAACTTCCAGGGGTTAGTTCTCTCTTGCTGCTGCAGGGGTCCCGGACACTCCACTCAGGGGATCTGGCTTAGCAGCAAACCCCCTTTACTCACTGAGCCATTGTACTGCCCATCCTTAGCACTTTTTCACGCCCCGGAGGTGCCTCAGGGTGCTGTTCATATCCACAACGCTTGGATCCCCGGGCCGGAAGCACTCCCAGAAGGGCAGGCCAGACTCACTGCTTCGTCGAGCCTCTCCTCGCACGGTACTGTGTGGCTAACAGGTACACCTCTGAAGACTCTTTCCTGCTGGCCTCCGGCTTCACGACCTTTGTGCTCTGGAATTCTTGGGTCAGTCTCTTCTGCAGCAGGTGGCTTTTACTTCCGGCCCAGGTTTTACACAGCAGTGTCCCCCCCGGATGCAGGATGTCCACAGCCATGTCCACAAGGGTAAGGCACATGCTAATGAGTCTGTCGTGATCGAGGTCTCGGATGCCAGTGGCATTCGGTGCCATGTCACTCAGAATCACATCTGCTCTCCTTCTGGGAAGCAGTTCTAAAATTCTCTGTAAAGTTCTGGGGTCAGTCACATCAGCAGGGCATAGAAAGGTTGCTCCCGCCAGAGGGAATATGTGAAGAAGATCGACCCCCAGCACGAAACCCACGGGGGAGCTGGAATCTACGGAAGTAACACAGTATGTTATTACACCACGAATAATCTCCCTACCAAAATACAAGCCACAAAAGTCAGGCAGGCACCAAGACGAAGGATAACAGCTAACATGCACATACGTGCACAAAAGGCCTTTCGTATGAAGATAGATGAGTTAGATGTAATGGCACAGGCTAGAATCCCAGCACTTGGGAGTCTAAGACATGAGGACTGTCACAAGTTCAAGGCTAGTTTGAGCTACCAATTGAGATCTTGTCTCTCAAAGTTGAAAAAAATAAAGACACATAGTGGAAGGTGGGGTATCCTCTACTCCCCTTGGCATAGTTTGGGAAGCTGAGACCTAGAAAGGAAGTGGTCTCACAATCGTCATGACTGGCAAGCAGAGGTTGGACCACAGCCAAGGCGCTGGATCCCACTTTGCTATCAGTTCACTAACCGAGGCTCCTCTTCTCTAGAAGGATTCTTCTTCCAAATGACTTTTTATTTGTGTATGCTTTGGTTCTAAAATGGGAAGCTCACTAAGTAGCCCAGGCTAGCCCAAAACATAAGTTCCTGACTTAACACAGTGAGTGTCTGAGGTTACAGGTGGGCACCACCACACCCAGCTCCCAACAATCCTTTTTGAGTTTTATGTTTGCTTTCTATTCCTTGAGAAAAATATCACTGTGTAGCCCAGGCTGGCCTCAAACTCAGAGATCTGATGCCTCTGCCTCTAATGGGATAGAATCAAAGGCATGTGAGACCACGTTCTGCTGCTCTGTTCTCTAGATTTACTGTCTATTTACATGTGTGAATGTGCACTCACGTGCAGGTGCCTATAGAGTCCAGGGCCTGGCTGTGAAGTTAAAGAGGTCAGGAGCTGCCTGACATGGGTGCTGGGACCTGAACTTGAGTCCTCTGTGAGAGCAGTGCTCTTTCTCTCCAGCCCTTCATTTTTGGCTTTTGGTTCTTTGAGACCCGAGTGACTCAGGCCTGGAATTCCTGGTTCTCCTGCCTCCACGTGCAGAGTGGTGCTCACTAGTGTTCCCTCCAGCTCAAGGCAGTCAGAGGAGCTGGGAGCAACAGCAGGTCCCACCTGCGCCTGTGGCGTTGACGCTCTGCACTGCCACCTGACTCCAGGCTCCCGGAGCGGCCCCGCAGTCCAGCACCCGGAGACCAGGCCTGAGGATGTGATGCTTCTCATTCATCTCCAGGAGCTTGAAGGCGCTGCGGCAGCGGTAATTCTCCACCTTTGCGGCCTTCACAAACGGGTCCTTTAGATGCCGCATCAGCCACAGGTGCTCAGCGCCCGTCCGCCCCTTATAGTGACACACTGCTGTGTGCAACCTCCGAACCTTAAGGGGAACGCCTACCAGCTTCGGAAGCCTGGAATGGTGAGAAAGGAGTTAGCAGGTGGGCATTACAGAGCGGCAAGCAGGTGGTCTCGGCTCAACCTACTTGTTTTCCCCCGCACATGTATGTGCGGTATGCATGCATGCATGTGTATTAGCATGTGTGTGCACATGCGTCTGCGTCTGTATGGGGACCCAAAGTAGAGAAGGGACGTCCCTTTGCTTGCTCTCTACCTGAGGTTAGGTCGCTAACCTGCCGGTCTATCTCGCCAGCTTTCTCCAGGGACCCCTTTTCTCTGCCTCCCCAGCACTGGCGTTACATTTGGTGAGCACACAAGTGCAGCATTATGTAGGTTCTGGGGATCCGAACTCCAATCCTCACTCGTGCGCAGCGTTTTCCGCGGACCTATTTCTACGTTGCAAGCCTCTCTCACTCATGTCCGTCCATGAATAAACATCGTACGCCCGTGTCCCGCTCCCCGGGACGGAGGTCGCCAGCGCTCTTCTGCAACAGAACTCACTGAGCTCCCCACTATCGTCATCTACTCCGCTTCCGCTTGCAACAGCCGCCCTTTTAGCGTAGGAGAACCCCTCCACTCACCCCGCCATGGTTGCTTGCTGACGGTTTCCTCCCGCCACCGGAAGTCCCGCCCTCGTTTCCAAGGCGAGGCTCCGCCCCGGAAAACTTCGGCTGTGGCGCTAAGGTATGGATGGTGAGCAGTGCTTGAGACCTGGGTGCGAGCGACACGCGGGAGATCGGGAGTGGGTGCCGGGGGAGATCTGGGGAGGGGAAGAGGCGGAAGGACTAGGAAGCTGCCTCAAGCCCACCAGGAAAACTGGGGTGCGGGGTAGACCTGAGGTCGGGAAGACCAGGGGAACTACAGAAGGTAGGGAGCAGAAATGAGAGGAAGAGGGGACCTGGGCGGTAAGCTGGTGCATACGCAGTTTGCAGCCTGGCTCTACCAGGCGTAGCCCCTGGAAAGAGAGGCTAGGGAACGGCTTTGGCAGAGTGCGCCTGCACGCAGGTTCTGGGCTCTGCACCCCGTGTGCACTGTCTCCAACACCTGCAACAACTGACCAACAACAGCACCCCAAATCCTAGCATTTGAAAGTTCCCTGACACGCGTCCGATTTACCATCTATCACAGCTACCTGCTCTGACAGGACACTAAACTAATGTCCAGGGCACCCTTGTTTGCTTATAGGCTCTGCCATTTGACCCCGTTTCTTTTTTTTCTTTTCTTTTCTTTTTTTTTTTTTTTTTTTTTGGTTTTTGGTTTTTAGAGACAGGGTTTCTCTGTGTAGCCCTGGCTGTCCTGGAACTAACTCTGACCAGGCTCGCCTCGAACTCAGAAATCCACCTGCCTCTGCCTCCCAAGTGCTGGGATTAAAGGCGTGCGCCACCACTGTCCGGCAACCTCGTTTCAAATTTAGACGGAGCATTAGTTTTCTCCTCAGAAAATAAGAAAGTCTTACACTGTTCTTACTGTGTAAGAACATAAGAAATAAGAAAGTCTTACACTGTTCTTACTGTTCAGCTTTTGAGAACAAGGTGGATTGGAACTGGGGTGATAGACGCCTGTGAAATGCTTGCCTCACGTGGGTGAGGACCTGAGTTTGAGGCTCAGAACCCACATAAAAAAACATGGCAGCATGCACCTGTAACCTACCTCAGTGCCAGGAAACAGATAGTTTGGTCCCTGGAGGAGTCTGGTCACCTAGTCTCCCTGAATCCATGAGCTACAGGCTCCACTGAAAGACCCTGTCTCATTCACATGTATATGTATTGTATGTATGCATATGTGCAGAGACAGACAGACAGACAGCTGGCTCAATGGTTAAGAGTACTTGGTGCTGTTGTATTTTGATTCTCAGCACCGGATGTAAGGTGACTTGCAACAGCCTGTTAACTCCAGCTTTAGGGGAATCCATCATCCTCTTCCTGGCTTCCATGAGTAGCCACGTGAATTTTTGCATACACAGACAAACAACACACATACATACATACATACATACATACATACATACATAAAAGCAAAATCTTTGAAAAAACAAGGTATGGGTGGGAAATAACACCGGCAGCTCCTGGAGAGGGAGGACAGAGATCAGATACCCAGAACTACACGGTGGCTCACAACCATTTTTAACTCTAGTTCCAAGGGAGCCAACGCCCTCTTCTGACCTCCTCCTGGAAATCTGTAGACCAAGCTGGCCTCAAACTCAGAAATCTGCCTGCCTCTGCTTCCCCAAAAAAAAAAGGTGTATGCCACTATGCTTTACTCTAAATCTTTTTTTTTTTTTAATGTGGAAAAGAAAATGTAAGGCAGAGAGCAATTGAGGAAGGCACCCTATGTCAACTGTGGTCTCCATACACAGGTAGGGACACCCACATGCACATGGACACACGTGTCACACACACAAAAAGAAGGCTAATCAATAACTGTGGAGTCAGTGTTAGACCAATTCAACCAGTAAATCAAAAATGTTCCCCAGCCCCAATTAACTTTGTTTGCAAGAAGTATCCCCATGTAATAAGCCCAGCAACTGTGTGAGATGAGGTATTTCCATTTGCAGAGGGGAAAACAGTGCAATGCCAATCAACAGAGCCATAGCCACGCCCATTCTACCAAACCCCTAGCTCTGTCTTCACAGCTCACTTCACTGAGCCAAGCTGCTGAGCACGCTGGTACACGCCTGTCACTCTACACTTAGCCTGTCGCGTCAGGAAGATTGTGAGTTTAAGTCCAGGACTGGAGTACACAGTCCCGTCTCATTTAAAATACTTGCGAAACAAATCACTCATCCGTAAGGCATGTGACGACGTTTGTCACTACCACATGAAAATGATTTACAGAGTTTGCATGTAAAGTGGGCCAGAGGATGTCTGTAAGTTACAGGCAAAGGTGCCATTTCATACAAATGATTTCATCATGCTTCCGGTACCCACAGCAGGGTCGGGTGTCATGGTAACCAGTCACCTGTGGATATGAAGGGCACCTATATACAGCGGGTGCTTAATAAAAAGATGGCTGACTTTTCTGAGTAAGGAAGGCAGAGCCTCAGGCACAGGCTAGTCAGGACACAGGCCGATGCTAAGCCCACTTCTGACATGCCTCAGCACCAGGCCCAAGCTTCCAGGTCCTTTTTCTTTCTCCCTTTCTTATTCTTTCTTTTTAAAATTAACTTATATTGTGTGTGTATAGGGTTTTTTAAAAGATTGATTTTTATGTTCATTGATGGTTTGCCTACAAGTATGTCTGTGTAAGGGGCCATATCCTCTGGAGCTGGAGTTACAGACAGTTGTGAGCTGCCATGTGCTTGCTGGGAATTGAACCTAGTACCTCTGGAAGAGCAGCCACTGCTCTTAACCACCGAGCCATCTCTCTAGCCGGAGTATAGGAGTTTTGTTTGCATTTATACTATATGTGTGCCTGGTACTCAAAGATGCCAGAAGAGGGCATTAGAACTGGAGTTAAACAGTTGTGAGCCACCTTGTGGATGCTAGGAATGGAACCGCAGTCCTCTGCAAGAGCAGCCAGTCCTCTTAACCACTGCCATTTCTCCAGCCCTTGTTCAAGTTTCTTTTCTTATACACTGCAACCTCTTAGGAGGGTCCTGGGTTCTGGACATTGCCTTAGCCAGTTGAGGCCAAGGAGACAATAAAAGTAATAAGAAGCTTAGTCTAGAGGCTGGGAAGGTGGCTCAATACTGGGGGTGTGGCTCAGTGGTAGAGCCCCTGCCTAGAATCCCCCAGTGAGGGGCTGGGGTGTGGCTCAGTGGTAGAGCCTCTGCCTAGAATCCCCCAGTGAGGGGCTGGGGTGTGTCTCAGTGGTAGAGCCCCTGCCTAGAATCCCCCAGTGAGGGGCTGGGGTGTGGCTCAGTGGTAGAGTCCCTGCCTAGAATCCCCCCCAGTGAGGGGCTGGGGTGTGGCTCAGCGGGAGAACACATGCCTAGCATGCTCAAGACTTTGAGTTCCTTCCCCAGCACTATAAGTAAATAAATAGATAAATAAATAAATAAAAATAAATGAAAAGGGGACCTCAAAGGCACATTTGTACATGCCCTGCTAATGGTATATTCTCTGTGTACTTACCAGTAGACCATACCATCCCCCTCTCCCGACTGTATCTCCCTCCCTCCTGCCTACAACAGTGCACATAGGATGCATGCTCTAACAGACCGCAGGCCAATCAGACCTCATTTTCTGATCCTCTTTACAGACCCTGGAGACCATGAGCACCTCCAAGCTTTATACCCTCGTGCTGGTGGTACAGCCTCAGCGAGTTCTCCTGGGCATGAAGAAGAGGGGCTTTGGTGCTGGCCGCTGGAATGGCTTTGGGGGCAAGGTGCAGGAAGGAGAGACCATTGAAGATGGGGCTAAGAGGTGAGGAAGGTCTGACCACAGAGCCAGCCTAGCTGGGGATGAAGCCCAAGAGAGTAGGAAACAGACCCTTGAGACTGACAGATGCTATGTAGACTAAGCTGGCCTTGAACTCATGGAGATCTACCTGCCTTTACTTCCAGAGGGCTGGGATTAAAGGCATGGGCTTCCAACTGCTAAATCAGCTCTCTAGCCCCTAGTCCCCTTAAGGGGTCTTTCTACATATTCCAGGTGGCCTTTAATTTTGTAACCCAGGTTGTTTTCAAACCCCAAATTTTCCTGCTTTCAATTTTCCTCCTTAGTGTTGGGATTATAGGTGTGCTATACCATGTCTGATTTTATGAAGTTCAAGTTCATTCGTAAACTGGTTATAGCAATGCCTGTGTATGATGTCCTTGTGAAACACGCAGATCACAAGTCCTGGGGCTGCAGTCTCATGGCCCTATCCCTGTAAGCACCAATGCTATGCTCACAAGCTAGCTAATGCCCGTGTCCTTCCTTACATGTCCAGGGAGCTTCTGGAAGAAAGTGGTCTGAGAGTGGACACACTGCACAAGGTAGGCCACATCTCATTTGAGTTTGTGGGCTCCCCTGAGCTGATGGACGTGCATATCTTCTCTACTGACCACGTGCACGGGATGCCCACAGAGAGTGAAGGTGAGCCATGGGCAGGGAAGGATACCCAGACTCAATTGCCTGCCTAGGAGAAGGGAACCAGCCCTTGCCAAGCACAGGCCCCAAGTCTGCCTGTCCTCCTATCTTTGCTTAGTGTCTGAACCAGGGGCAGCCAGGCAGAGCAGCCATGTAGCCTGGAGATGAGACCCTTTCTGTATTTCACACAATACAGAAATCACCCATATTGGGACGAGCATTTTTATCCCAACACTTGAGAGGAAGAGGAGGCTATCTCTGTGAACTCAAAGCCAACCTGATCTACATTGTCAGACCTTGTTTCAAAAAAGGGAAGAACCAGGTGGTAGTGGCGCGCGCCTTTAATCCCAGCACTTAGGAGGCAGAGACAGGCGGATTTCTGAGTTCGAGGCCAGCCTGATCTACAGAGTGAGTTCCAGGACAGCCAGGGCTACACAGAAAAACCTTGTCTTGAAAAAAAAAAAAAAAAAAAGATGATGATGAGGAAGAGGAAGAAGAAGAGGAGAGGCAGCAGCTGGGGTGTGGTTCAGTTGGCAGGAGGCTCGATTAGCAAGCACGAAGACCTGAGTTCCATCCCCGGGGGTGACATGAACCATGTGGTGTTTCATGTCTGCAATCCCAACACAGGAGATTAGGTCTCAGAAACAAGTAAGAAAATAACCAGGTATGTTGAGGCACGTCCATAATCCCAGCACTGAGGCAGAAAGACTGAATGTGAGGTAATACTGGGCTACAGAGTAGGTTCTAGGCCAGCCTGAGCTACATAAAATAACCCTGTCAAAACCAACAGGTGCTCATAAGGATGAGTTATAAAATTAGACCAGGTTCCTATCTCAGATGAGCCAGGTATAGTGGTGCACATTGACCATCCTAGCACCATGGAAGCTGAAGCAGGAGGATGGCCTCAAATTCAATATTAGCCTGGGCATCATACTCAATGCCAGGTCAGCCAGAGCTCCAAAGAAAAGTCCCTGTATCCAAGAAAATAAAGCAGGCATGGTGGTGTGGCACACCTGTAAACCTAGCAACCAGGAATCTTGAGGCAGGAGGGTTGCTACTCATTCCAGATCAGCCTGGGCTACAGTGTGGAAGTCCTGTCTCAAAAAACTCCAGGGGACGAGGAGACAAGGGCTCAGAGGTTAAGAGCACTTGCTCTTGCAGAGGACCCACGTGCTTTTAGCCATACCCAAAGGACTGCTCATACCTGTCCAGAACTCGGCTCCAGGGGATCTGATGCCCTCTCCTGGTGTCTGTAGGAACTGCATGTATGCAGTATCCAGGCAAAACACTCATTCATACACATAAATAATTTTGTTGTTTTTTGTTTTTCGTTTTTCGAAACAGGGTTTCTTTGTGTAGCCCTGGCTGTTCTGGAACTCACTCTGTAGACCAGGCTAGCCTCAAACTCTCAAACTCAGAAATCCGCCTGCCTCTACCTCCCAAGTGCTGGGATTAAAGGTGTGCACCACCACTGCCTGGCTTTTTTATTTTTTAATTTATTTATTATGTATACAGCATTCTGCCTGCACATATACCTGCAGGCCAGAAGAGGGGCCAAGATCTCATTATAGATGGTTATGAGCCACCTTCCGGTGCTAGAAATTGAACTCAGGACCACTGGCAGAGCAGCCAGTGCTCTTAACCTCTGAGCCATCTCTCTAGCTGTAAACTTTTTCTTTTGATAAATAATCACCACCACCCAAAACAGCAGGAGAGAGATTTCAATGGTTAAGAGCACTGGCTGGCCGGGCAGTGGTGGCGCACGCCTTTAATCCCAGCACTTGGGAGGCAGAGGCAGGCAGATTTCTGAGTTTGAGAGTTTGAGGCCAGCCTGGTCTACAGAGTGAGTTCCAGAACAGCCAGAACTACACAGAGAAACCCTGTCTCGAAAAACAAAACAAAAAACAAAAACAAAAACAAGAGCACTGGCTGGCCCTCTAGAGGCCCCACATTAGTGTCCAGCACCTGCACTAGTTAGCGTGTGGTTGGCTCTAACTCCAGCCCCTCTTCTGGTGTACCCACACATTTGTGGCATTCGTTCACACAGACATATTCAGATACATAACAGCTCTGCGTTCAAGGCCAGCCAGGGCTAAACAGTGAGACCATGTCTCAAACAAAACAAAATCTCCAAACAGGTATTCACACAGATCCAGAGGTAATCCCTCTCAGGTCAGCTGAAATCTATTCCCCCCCCCACCCCCCAGAAATGCGCCCTCAGTGGTTCCAACTGGACCAGATCCCCTTTGCCCACATGTGGCCAGATGACAGCTACTGGTTCCCTCTCCTGCTTCAGAAGAAGAAGTTCTGTGGACACTTCAAATTCCACGATCAGGACACCATCCTGGATTACTCGCTTCGTGAGGTGGATGGATTCTAATACAGAGGTCTGGCTGGTTCTGACCACTCAGGTTGCTACACAGCCACAAGCTGTCAGTCCAATGGCACAAGCAGGGGCTGGTATTTTCTGTTGGCAAGGTGTTGGGGTTGAAATGTGAAATGCCACCAATAGAGTTTGAATTCGTCCTGTTTTAGAGGGCTGATGGTGGAACTGAGTCCCTGAGGGACTATAGGTGAGCACCACTTCCTGCTCTCTCCTGCTGCTGTGTCCTGTCTTCCATGATGGACTATATCCCCTCGATGGATGAGCCAAAATAAACCGTGTCTCCCCTAAGCTGCTGTGTGACTTCAGTCTCAAGAAGTGGTATGGGTGACTGGATAGGAAAGAGATCCTGCCAGGCACCCAGACAGCCAATTCTTTGTCTTGTCCTACTACCCAAAACAGGATGTACAGACATCAAAAGATAAGGACTCTTTTCATGCAGGATGCCAGGCACCTGAAGAAAATCTGCGGAGACCTGTGTGACACTGAGAGAAGCCAGAGCCATGGGTGTCGGGAGGCCGCTGGGGATGGTGTCTCAGAGCAAGACAAGTATTCCTCTGGCAGGCGTTCGGGCTTGCCAACCAGGACCTGGACTCCAGCTAGGGGCTGGTCTGACTGAAAGGCTGTGTTCAGGGAATTATCTAGACAGATACAGGTGAGGCCTCCTAGGCTGAGGCTGGTGAGCAAATCAGGTAAAGATAACCATCAGGAGAGCCTGGAAATCCTGATCAAGACCACCCGCCACAGGGACCCACCCAGATCACAGCCGCATTCCCCACTGCTGTGACGGCTGTGTGAAGCAGGCACTCCCCTAATGTGGGGGCGGGGGAGCCAGGACTTCCAAGCCACACTTAGACAGAAACCTCACAGTGTGTGGAGATCAGTGGGAAGCATGCTGACCTACTTCACAGAAAACACTTCTCCCTCAGGAAGAGGGAGCCTCTAAGGAAATCCCAAGAGGAGGGCTGGACCGATGGGGCCAGCAGGACTGCTTTTAAGTCAGTTTCCAGCACCCACAGCTGGCAGCTCATAACCACCTGTACCTCCAGCCTCAGAGAAGCTGGCACCCTCTTCTGGCCTCCACAGGCACCAGCACTCACGTGCACATCTCCCACAGACATTGTGTGTGTATATACTGTAAATTATGTAATTTACAGTACACACACACACACACTCACGGATATTGTGTCATGATCAAAAGCCAAATGCATTGTTAGCTGAAACTCCCTAAACCTAAAGGGGCCAAGGCGAGGCATAAGTGCTGAGATCGAGGCTTGCTGCAGGCCTTCCTCCTGATTCGTTCTTAATCAGGTGACAGGGTGGGTGTGACGTGCATGTGAGTACAGGTACCATGGAGGACAGATGGCAGTTCCACTGGAGCTGAAGTTATAAGACCTTGGGAGCAACCTGGCATGGGGGAGAAACTGAACTCAGGTCCTAAGAACAGCAAGTACTCTTAACTGCGCAGCCATCTCTGCAGCCCTTATGACATCAGTTTTAACTGTCAACTTGACATAACTTATCATCACTTGGGAAGAGCTTCTCAGAGAAGGACTCTCTTCATCAGGATGGTCTGTGGACATGTCTGGGGGAGTCTCTTGATTATATTAACCGAAGTAGGAAGACCTGCCCACTGTGAGTGGCAGGGTTTCCTAGGAAGGGAATCCTGAACACCACGAGAGAGGAGGAAGCAAGAGGAGCACCGGCGTGCACACTCTGATCTATTCCCTGCTTCACTCTCGATGTAATGTGCCCAGCTGGCTCAAACTCTTACAAGATGGCTCCCCGCTCCCCCAAGTTGACAGGCCTATGAGTTAAACCCTTTTTGACTGTATTTCTTCTGTTGGGGAATCTCATCATAGCAACAGAAAATGAACTCAACTAATCCGGCTCCAAAGACCAATCAAAGAAATGATTCTGCAAAGCCTGAGCAAGCCAGCGAGTTTTCTGTGGTAACTTACGGGAGTGTGGTTTAGGAGTAGGGACTCTTCATACAGCAATCACAGCATGGGTGAGAACTGGAAATGCAGCCCCAGAGTTCTGTATCATGCAGGGCACTCAACAGGTCAGTCTCCCCCCTTAGCAACTGTCACTTGGGTCACCACCTCAGGGAGGGACCTTGTGAATCGTGTACTTTGCAGATTTCTGAGACTTGTAAAGGTGACAGATTCTGAGTCTGAGGAACCTCCCTCCAACAGGAAGCTATGCTATACCCAGGAAGCTACCATACAACACACCCCCAACATGACCACCAGGGTAGGGGCACCTGCCCACCTCAACTGAAGACTCCGTTCCCAAGACACATCCAAGACACATCTGACTGTTTGTGGGCTTATGGAGAGAGACTGCAGCATGGAAACCGTCTGTAAACACTTCCAGTTTATTGGGTGTGGCAGTGACTGATTCCTGCAGTCCATAAAGTGCTTCATTCATCGAGCGAATCCCACAGCACCAGTTCTTAGCTCCCTTAGCCCAGAGTGCACACAGCAGTGTCCCAGGGCCCTGCTGCCCCTGTCTAGCCTCTTCAGCCAGGGTGGCTAACACCAAGTAGGGAGCACCAAAAAAAACCCTTCCCTTCACTCCATCTCTCCTGGCCCCAGGACTGTCCAGTTAAGGCTCCAGCTGGGCCTCACTCGGCCCAGGAAAAGGGACAAGCAAGCAGGAGATCCAGGGATACTTGTGCTTCTCCGTCTTTCTGGCAGCCCCAAACAAGGCTGTGGCACAGCACAGGCTTGGACAGCAGGATCCCCAGAACGGTACAGGGACTCCTGATTCCTTCAAACCCTGGGAGTGGAACCTCAAGTTTGGAGTCAGGCACCCACAACCCAGTCAGGGAAAGACTATGTGAGAAAAGGCAGGCTCTGTGCCAGGCTTGGGGGCCTAGACCACTACAGCGCAGGGCAGGTGAGTGGGCTGGTATAGGAGAGTTCACATGAAGGTGGAACCTGCTGCCCGACAGCCTGAGGCCTGGGCACCCAACAGGGATGCCCATCTCCAGTGCTTCTCCACAACCCCTCCTCACTCCCACCCTCCAAAACCCAACCCAAAAAAAGACCCTGAGCCTTCATCCACTGTGGACCTTGACAGGCCCTGGACCAGAGCTCCGGGATCGCACTGGAGTGAAGTATGTCCTCCAAAGCTTCAAACACTGCACTCAACTCCCTCCTGCGTCAGACCTCCCGCCTGGCCTCAAACACGCCTCGAAGAACGTCTAACTGGCTCTAGTCTAGAGCTATGTCCCACCCTCAGAGACTGGCCAGCTCTTTGCCAGGCCCCAGGGCAGGCCAGTCCTCCTGTTTCACTGCCGCTAGGTTAACCCCTAGGCTCCCCTAGACACCATTTACTGGGTACAAAAGGCCCTTAGCACTGCGGGCACTGGGCACAATCCAGTCCAGAGCACCCTAATCTCCCACTACCGACCTGATCAACAGGCCAAGGGGCAGGCTGGGGGCACAGAGACCTCCTACAACAGGAACAGGGAGCCACAGACCCACAGCACAGCCCACAGGCAGCTCAGGGGAGTGGCTGCTGCCTGTAGGGAATCAGCCAGGAACACACTGTTTGCAAAGAGTTTTTAGTGAGGCCACAGGGAGCTCTGTCGTGGGCCTTGCCACTAGTGGGGACACACGCCATCCTCCTGCGGAGAGCGCGGTGGCGTCAGCACACTGTGAGGTCCAGCGAAGAGGCAGCTCAGCTTCGGCTTCAGGTCATTCCACACCCTGCTCATCTGCAAGAGACAGAGAAAAACAGGGAGGTGGGGTGGGCGGCTGCAACCGATCAGTGACAAGCCAGACGGTGACAAGTCGGCTCCCATGCCTTGTCATCTGGTGGCATGAACATGAGGGCCCTCACATCACACTGCTGCACAGACCAGGCTCCACAGCCTGAGCATCTGAAAGGGAAGACAAGCCACCCCTGTTCTCTCAATGTTGGCCCATCCTCCAGAGGCAAAGCAGGGGGATTACAAGTTCCAGGCTAGCCTGGGTTACATAGTGAGACTTAAATGTCTAAAACAGGATATAGCTCAGGGTTAGAGTTAGCTTATCAAACCCACATGAGACCCCAAGTTTGATCCTCGGTACCCCACACAAAAAGATAAGAAATTTAGTAACTGCTATATAACAGTGGCTGACCTTGAACTCCTGATCCTACCTCCATCTCCTGAGTCCTGGGATTACAGATGAGCACCACTACAGCTGGCATGTGCAGTGCTGGGGATGGAACCCTGGGCTTTGTGCATCCTCGGGAAGCTCTCCACCCCACAAGTTAATGCCCCCTAGCCTACCTCTGTTTCTGTTCCTTGATGAGAAGAACCAGCTGTAACAAGCTAGCTTCTACCCATCCCCCATCACAGAGCCCGGATGGATGCTGCCAAGCAGCTCTGGGGGTCTGTAACCACGACACCCAGGCCAAAATCTGAAAACATTTGGCTGTACCTTCATGCCATCCCTCAGACCTTAGAACCACACAGGTTAAAAGAGGTCCCAAGGGCAAAGGGAGCAGCTCGGCTGGCAGAACACCTGTCTGGCATGCATGAAGCCCTGGGTTTGGATCCACAGCCCCATGTAAGCCAGGTGTGGCATGTGCTTATCATCCCAGCACTCAGGAGGTTGAGGCAGGCTATCAAAAATTCTGGCCTTTAGGATGGCTTGGCAGGTAAACACGCTAGCTGCCAACCTGATCACCTGAATTCATCCTTGTAACCCACATAGAGCAGACAACCAAATGCCCTCTTGGAGGAGATGAGGCTCCCGCAGCTGGCAGGAGACACCAAAGATGTACAGCTAGGGAAGATGGGTGTGTGCGACACGGGGCTAGCACATCAGATGTCATCAAATCAGAGCCTAAGCAGAATAGCCCATCTTGCCACCGGCCACCATTTAGTCACACGCCGGGCTGAAACCAAGCAGGCTCTCAAGGGTGGAGAGTGTTTTCCTTTTTTAAATTTGTTTTTATTTTATGTGCACTGTTGTTTTGTTTACATGTGTGTCTGTGTGAAAATGTCAAACTGCAAGAGCTGCAGTTACAGACAGTGGTGGTGAGCTGCCACGTAGGAGCTGGGAATTCAATCTGGGGCCTCCAGAAGAACAGCAGCCAGTCTTAACCAATGGGCCATCTCTCCAGGATGGAGAGCGTTTTCTAGACCAGCAGAACCTGACAGGATAAGTGAGGACAGGTACACAACTCCTGCTGGCTCTGACTTTAATTCCCTGAAGCCAGAATCATTGTAAACTCAGAGCCATATGAAGTAAAAACCTGGGCAGGCTGAGGAGATGGCTTGTGGGTTATGT